ATTTTTCGTTGACCTTTGACCGGAAGTTGATGTATACTAAATATGGTTTATTTTTGATTACTCGTTATTGAGATATGATAATGACCTGATTTTTACAAAATGGCGCCTGGATGACGTCACGATGACCCCATGAACTTGAAAAAGGTTTCGGGAACTTCATATCATAGGGCCTGATGATTAGCAGAAATTTGAAGGAAATTGACCAGGTCGAGTTCGAGTAAACGTATACACAAAAAAAGTGTACGGAATAAATAAAAATAAATAAAGAATAAAGAATAAAGAATAAAGAATAAAGAAAGAAAATTCTAACGAAATCAATAGGTGATCTGTCATCGACAGACCACCTAATAAAGAATAAAGAATAAAGAAAGAAAATTCTAACGAAATCAATAGGTGATCTGTCATCGACAGACCACCTAATAAAGAAAGAATAAAGAATAAAGAATAAAGAATAAAGAAAGAAAATTCTAACGAAATCAATAGGTGATCTGTCATCGACAGACCACCTAATAATAAAGAAAAATCTTGACGAAATCAATAGGTGATACGTAGACTTCGTTACGTATCACCTAATAAAAGTGATTCATAAAAATTATTCAGCCATTTTAATAGCACTTAATATGCTGTAGCACATTTTGGATGTTACATTAAGCTGTTAACAGACATTTTCATACTTTAACTAGTTCAAATGAGGGGCAAAGATAGATGTGAGAATAGCAAATTTCAACTTTTCAACCTCTCCTCTTGCTATTTACATTGCTGTGTGTTTGCAAATCATCACGTTTTCATTTTTACAGAGGTTGTTCCAAATTATGTCATATAACCAAAGATTTTCATTTAAAAATACCTTTTATAAAGGACACTTAGTACACGTAACTAATCTGTGTAGAAAGTACATACTGTACATGTATAAAAGAAAAGGGCGTTACCAGTAATACCTTATTTAATGATCCTAAACATATACATGTAGTATCTTCCTCAAATTTATGCATACATACAAAATGTATAAGCTAGTGTAGGGACTTATTTTGAACTTCTGAAACTCCCCTTCATATCCATGATTCATCCCTTTCACATTAATAGGTCATCCTTCAGTCACATTCACCCTTTTCATCCACCATCCTTTCATCTGTCTATCTCTCTCTCTCATTGGTTTCAATGTTCACCTGATGCAGTCAAGCTTATGTAGTATAATTGACATATACTATGAATATTCAATATATACCCTTTGTTTATGTTTGAATATGCAAGAATATTTTGTGATGTTGATTTTTACTTGTATGGGACTATGTGAATATTTTTATTGATTTATTCTACTTTGCATGGAATGTATGTGGAATGCTAAATAGAAGCTGTAATGCTTTTACACATTAAAACCTGGTCAGTTAGCTAGTAGTTATCAATCCTACATCATGTCTGCTGGGCTGCCTCTGTGTTAAGAGTGCTAGGAATTATCTGTTAGAACCGCAACCCTACACTAGTGTGAAATATAAATGGGCTGTCCGTTTTTGTTTTTTTTCCTCTACGAAATGTCAAAGTTGGGGGTGCGGCGCTGCGGCCTTATCGCCGGCAAATACGGTACATGTTTAACCTACACTGTATATTGTTTGTCACCTGTAATATAGGCACAGCAAGAGTTAAGATCTATCAACCAACCAACCGACCAACCAATCAATCCATCCATTCATCAATCGGTCATCAATTAAATAAATAAATAAATATTTATTTAAGAGCTTTAAAAAATATTGTCGTTTGAAACAGCCTCCTAATACAAATAGTGGTAAAGGATGATTGTTACTACAGTAGTATTATAACCTAAAACATACACAATTTTAAAATACATCAAAAATGTCTCATTCTCGAGATGTACATACATTAGGATTCACTTATTTCTTATTACCGTACTTACATGACTAGGGGTACTTTTTTATAGTTTTATTTTTTTAAAGATTTGTCAATGTTTCAGTGCTTACAAACATTTATGTGTTAGTGATATTATTGAATGACACACTATATAGTTGAAGGCAAAGAACATTAGCAAGCTGATTAAACATCTATATTGTAGAGTTTGTAGAAATTGATGATCTCATTGAAATGTTAACATCGTGTAACATCCGAAACAAACCATAGCATACATTTCACATTGTTGTTCATAACATGCAATAAAGAGTATGTTTCTAAGTGAATTTTCTAAGGAGTTTTGATGACTACAATTGCTATTAGCTTCATATTTCACTCTGTTAGATCACATAAGCATTTTTAACTACCGGTACACGTTCTTGAAATGAATAATATACCTTACATAAATTGAGTGGTCGATGAAGACAAACTTGGTATACATGTATGTGCTAAACTAATTAAAACTGCACAATTTTTTCCATAAATGTTACAGAAGTATTTTTCTGCAAACAATTAATGTAACTGAGGTCAATAATACCTAAAGAAAAGCAATTAACTTGAATAAAGTTATAATGTTAACAGTGTGTAACGTCCGAAACATCAGTGGTGTGCCATATGAAAATTATTAGGCAATGCACTGGCTCCCAAATTGTTTGCATGTATTTACCTTTTATCATCAGTTGTTATAATAAAATAAGTTTGACCTAAGAAAAAAGCATTTTACCTATTGAAATAAAAACTTGTTATTGTCAAAACCCTAATTTAGAGCTATTTTTCACTTTCAAGGGATACAAAATCTGTATTTTTTAAGATAGAAACTGAACAATTTGCATGAATAATCTCTGAAACATATTCTTAAAGACCCAACATATTTAAAGGTGTAGTTAATGGCAAATGAGTTTTATATCACAGTTATTAGATATGCTATAGTTCACAATAAAATTGTAAAAACTCGAAGTATTCATATCTGGTGAATAAATAAGGAGATAGATTAAGGTCCAGAATTTGCATTTCTCAAAAATATGATTAGTCCTGATCCTAAAAATACAAGTTTGAAGTGAGTAAACATAATTTCATTTTGGACCCATTTGTGGACACATTTGGTATAAGTTAAAAAAAAAAACCAGTGCCTTAAACAGAACCTCTGAAAAACGCGCGCTTATCTGGAATGTAATGGTGCGGCTAGCATTAGATGTAACATGGGCGGCTTCTTGCTTGGAAATTGTATCAAAGTATCAAAGTTCATGTATCAAGCCCACAAGAAAGTGAAATTTTTGGAAATATGCATTTGTAGGAAATTACATTTTATAGTAGTCATTGCCACGCTGTTAAAAAAATGTCCATCAATCTTCAGAAGGGACGGTGAAGTAGGGGGGGGGGCGGAGGACTCACAGCGTGATATATTCTCCTCTTTTTTTAGGGGGGGAGCTGTGATGACTTTTATTTTTATTTAATGATTACACCATCGAGCCACAACTCGGCCTATAATTCATGGCCAAACTACTCGATGTTAGACATTCTCTTTTCCAGAAGTTTGCTCTGTGTTGAGTATTAAGTTAGACAAAGGCATGTGAGGGAAAGGCAGCCGGGTCCACAAAAGAAGGATACACCCCCCCCCCCCCCCCCTCCTGTCTCCCCTCGGCAGTAATCGGGCAAACATTCACAATTTCGGGCAGAAAATTAAGGTAAATACAAGTTAAAGAAAGAAGAAAATAAAGCAGCGCTGAAATTAATGACTGCAGAGAATCCTTCGTTACTATCTTTTCAATTAGCCTAATATACAACAATTACCAATATCCAACCTGTAACATGCTTTTTTTTATATACTTTTACCTCTAACATATTAACCTCTGACATTTTTTCCTCTGACATTTTTACCTCTGACATTTTATCCTCTGACATTTTTTCCTCTGACATTTTTACCTCTGACATTTTTACCTCTGACATTTTTACCTCGTGACATTTCTACCTTTGACATTTTTACCTCTGACATTTTTACCTCTGACATTTTTTCGTCTTACATTTTTACACCGAGCCATACTTCTTACGTTTATACAATGTGCCCACAGGTGAACTATATAGATCTGAATAATTGTCAAAATAATCTTATATCCGTTGTTCTTTTTTATTGCAGCCATGGGGAAGTCAAGAAACATCTGTGTATTAACTTCAACTTTAGTGTTAGTTGCCTTGGCAATTCTAGATCAAGTTGGTGACTATCAGTATTTGAGATCACCTGTTACTTCGAGGTATAATTTCCTGGTGAGTCCACAACACCGTATCGTCCCTTAAAATTGACCTTTATCTTTTATTTTGTTGTTAGGGGGTGGTTTCTTGCTGCATTAGAATGATGACAATGATAATGATAGTAGAAATATTAGTAGAATAATCGTAGAAATAGTAGTAGTAGTAGTAGTAGTAAAAGTATAATAATAGGGTGACCAAATTTCGTGGAGATTAAAAAAAGATATTAGGAATCTGATAAAATTATTTCATCCATGATTTCTTATATATTCTACACAAATAAAATTATTTCAATTATTAACAAAAAGACAGCAACAATTTAACTAAATTTTGACTAAATATTGGTGGAACTAGAACATTTATTGTAAAAGGATTCCGTCGATATTGCGATCTAAAAAATACGATGTCGGATCGGGGGTTTACTGATTTACTGATTTATCCAAAAATGCGATCCCCAAAATATAAAAGAATTGCATAATTTGCAAAGCAAAACATCATACAATTATTGTTTGGTATCACGTATTACTTACAAGAGGACACTCTTTTTTATGCCTCCGCCACCGAAGGTGGTGCCGGAGGCATCATGTTTTCGGGTTGTCCGTCCGTACGTATGGATTATTTACTGATTTGATAGTGATTTATCATTTTGAAGAAAGAAGAAAATCGCCCGTTTGCCATCGTTTAAAAAGAAATGATTTCATAAAAATCTGCTCGGTTTACTTGCTTGCTCGCTTGCGGATTTATTGCTAAGAATGAAGTTGTGATTGAAACTTTAATATCCATATGTATATAACAGGTTAGTACATTGCATGGCCTGTTATGATTAGGCTGTTCCTCTTTATCACTCATAGATGAATCAGTTTAAGGTTCAGCCTGCTCCGGTACCTCTCATGCGGTCATTCTCGGATCAGAGCAACCAACATTCTTTATGTCCAGGCAGAACAGCTCGCAAGTTTCCTCACTTCGCTTATCCCTCTGTTCATCCAATCAACTGGACAAACCACATGGACATTACCAACAACACTCTCACAACATTCGAGCTGATAAATCCCAAAGAAACTTACTTCATATGTGACGAACTCGAGTTGCATATATACGCACGAAATGGACGTAACGAGTCCAAACAATATGGCGGTGACTTATTTCGAGCAAAGATTTTCACCACAAATTCAACTTACTCCGCTAGTTCGTCAACTGACGGTGAAATTGTTGATAATGGGAATGGAACATATAATGCCTATTTTACACTTAAATGGACAGGCGTTATCAGTATATCTGTATCTTTGATTTATTCAAGTGAAGCTACATATGTTTTGGATCGTATACGCACTGAAAACCAGCCAAGAATAGTGTACTTTGGCGCATTCGAGTCCGAAAACAAAACCCAAAAGGAAGGTTTTTGCAATATTCAACTAAGAAGACCTATGGTAAGTCCTGTTTCTGTTTCTTCTTTTTTTTTGGGGGGGGGGGGGACATTCTGATGGTACTAATATAAAGCAAGCGACGTTCAAGTAAGATGTACTTTTTCTAGTAATGTCAATAAACATGTTTAATCTATTCCGTGTCGAGAAAATAATAAACAGACAGTCCTTCCCAGACAGGGAGAGGATGGATAAGAAAAACATTAATCAATGAAATCCAACAAATCTAGAATATTATGCCAGTTTAACACTTCATAAACAAGATTCAATTAATGTCTTGAAAACACCACTGACAATTAAAAACAATCATTAAAACAAGCCTCCACGAGTGACTCGAAGTAGTCTGCAAGCACAGACCCTAATTTGACACCTTATCAAAAAATAATTGTGCCTTGAGAAAAGCCTAGCCCAGCTACCTACTGGTTGTGTCAATATAAGGAGAAGCTATAGTACATGGCCTATGGTAGTCTTATAGTGCCAGTGACAGATCCAGGGGGCACAGGGGGCACGTGCCCCCGTCCAAAAAATATGATAAAATCAGCCCTAAATTCGCCCAAAATATACCGAAAAAAAAGTATAAAAAAAATAAATAATAATAATAAAAAAATATCCCGATGGCTGACCTAAAAAAGTGACCTCACCCCCCCTCCCTCCCCAACGGAGCAAAATGTAAAATTAAAAAAAATTCGTGACAAAAAAAACAAAAAAACAAAGTGTACTCTTACCCCCTCTCTCCCCCCCCCCCCCCCCAAAAAAACAATTTATATTCGTTGCATGGTTTGATCTATCAGAAAATAGATCAAAAGCAAAACGTACGCACATAGACATAGTACATGCACTATAACTAGCGGCGGGTCTTCCCTCTTACGTCACACAAGTCCCCGATATAAGAGTTGCACAGCGGACAAAATTTAGAGTTGCAAATTGGTCACCTCAAACAAAGATTTCTTGGCTGGATGACAATGTTTGGCTTTCATACTTATTTTTTTCGTTTATGAGACTCTTCTTCTTTATGTGCATCCATCATCCTTTAAGAAAGTAGATCGACCCTCAGTAATTATTGATTATTCCCCTGGTTCTGTAAATTCGGTGGGGCGTACGTTTACCGGCCCCACTCTATGCTGCGTGGAAACGGCGCTACAGTTTGCAAAGGCCTAACGGCCAATCCAAGATTGCCAGAAAAGAGGGGGTGTTTTAATAATTTAACCCCCATAAGGTCCACGATCCCTCTGTAGCGTTTTAAGGAGTAAGGGGGTGGAGGGGAGTGGATGCACCGGCCAACCACCACCCATGGTTATATTCTATCTTTTTTTTTCGGACAGAAGGAGAATGAATTTTGTGACTTTACCGATGAAACGACTGGTTCACCATGGTTTTGTGAGAAGCCAGTTGGCTTCGGTTGTAGTGACTGGAAGAAACACAGGATTGACGGAAATAAATGTGAAAAGCAAGCTATACAGGTGACGAATGCGACGGAAAGGGAAGCATTTAAAGTGTAAGATATTCCATTTCATTTATAGCTAAACTTTGAGAATAAACAGTTGGAACTACACTGTCGCTCATAATTAAAGTTGGAATATTTTTGTTTACCCCAATTTTTAGAATTATTTTGACAATGATTTCTTCCTAATAGATCTAGGTAATAGTGTACATTCTCAGATTGTATTGAATGACAACTGGGGAGTGTTTGTTTAGCGTGACTGCTAAAGCATAATTCTGTGCTAATCAACTATGGGACCTACGTCCTTAAGTCATAACTGACAGTAATGGGGATTAATGCCTCATAAAGGGGCACTAATATAGCACATCGACACGGTTTTGATCCTGGGGGCTCGCAGTAACGAGGCCATTGCTTAGCCAATGAATCATGACTGTACGCAGCGGGCGCTATAGGGTACGTCGACGCCCCCACAAAAATAAAAAACAAAGAAAATGCAATAAATTTGTAATAATTCATTACACTTCCCCCCAGTCCCCGACAGGAAAAATTCCTCTGTAGGGCCATGCATTATGGTTCAAGGCATGCCCGCATAGAAGTTTTTTTTTTAAATACATTATTCAGTGAAGTTATAGTACACAAAATGGCTCCGTCATCGATGACTAACTTATATGGAACAAAAACACTAATTTATTGTGTACAAAGGCTATTCAGAGAATGTTCTTTCTCAGGAAAACTAAACAAGTTGAATGTCGACGATTCGATTTTAACCCTATCCTGCAAGTCTTGTCCAAAGCTTTTTGATTTTTAAATTGATTTGTGAACACAGCAATCTGTCACAAGATGACAAAAGGAGGATTGAACGATCGAGAAACACGTGACTGGTGCATTGCGCAACACGTGACTGGTGATTGGTAAGACACCGCTCCTCCCATATAAACTGAGAAGAGCGGGTGACCAAAAAAGTAACTTGCGGACTTGCCATCAGGAACGATCTGACGCACCCTATGAATGACTGTTTTACTTTTAACAGATCTAGGCCGCTTGCCATCAATGGCAAAAAAAAGGGTCAAATTAATGTGTTTTTACACGTTTTAGGCCCCAGGGGAGGGAGCTCGGGCCCCCGAACCCCCCTGGATCCGCCACTGGTTACCATGGATGGCAAATTTATCATCAATAGTAAGTAATTTTGTGCAACGGGGCCCAGGGCCCCGTTTTAAATATTATTAACGACCTTCTTGCGATTGATATTAATCGCGATTGGTTTGAATGGGTCCAGGACAATCGCCCCCGGCAAATTACCCCCCTATTCATTAACGGGGAAGTCCATTCTGATAACAAGTTTATTTTAATAAAAGCTGAAAACAAAGAAACAAGTTGATGATATTTTGAGCTAAATTAGATTAAAATTAGGAAAGTTGTGAAGTTTTTAAGTTGTCATCAGTGAAACACAAATTGGCAACTTCATGACGTATCATGCGAACTCTTTTCTAAGTTGCAGTCTACAGAAAATGTCATAAACTTTTGTTTTATTAGTTATTTATGACGGAATAAATTTGTTTCATCAGGGGCCGTTCTATACAAACATATTTGCAATTTTTTTATAGGGTGAATGTATGATTGAACATTTTCTTAAGAAAAAATACATATTTTTGAAGGTTTTTATACGGGGCAAATGTGTATCCCGACACAGCCATAAGGCGAAGAAGACAAGGAATCTATGTTCAAAGAAAGTTTTATCCTCAACCATTCACATTCATACGTTTATTCTCAGGGTGGAGATCGCTCTAATGAAAAAGTTGGCTGTGATGAAAAAAGGTAGTTCATTATAATAGAGTACAGAACAATGACATACGTTTTGTGTACGTCGATGGATAACTAGTACTTTGACGTATAAAACAAACAATTTGCCGTAATTATGATGTAGTGTATTCTTACGTGGACATTGGACTAATACTTGAAACATGTGGGTCTCGTGACTGGGTGCATTTGTCAACACAATTTTTAATACAGTTTATTAAAGTTTATGAGATCTATAATGTTTTAATCAGTGTGTTATAATACCTGGGCAATTGCTTCACGAGGAGAAACTGAAATTAACAGCTGCGACCCCATCTATCTCCTTATTAAACGACAGCCAAAAACGATAATGCTTGAAATGTTGACAGATGAGCTATAATAATTCAACTATTCCCTTTATTTAACAGACTGTAAAATCCTGCATGATAACCATTTCAAATACTATTTTCAACAATTAACAATCATTTTGTGTGAGTTTTTGGAAGCCTATTGTGTAACAAAACTGTAGAGATAACAGCTGCTATTGAAGTTGTGTATCGGGGAAGGGGGTGGAATCGGCCGTCTCCCTCCCCCTTTGCGATCTAAAAAGGGGGGAAAGAGAGACGGAGAGCGAGGGACAAAAGGGAGAAAGAAAGAGAGAAGAACAAAAGAGATAAAAAGGGAAATAAAATTGTCGAATTGCTAAAAACTCGACAGCATCCGGGGGCTCCGCCGCTGGACCCCCCTTGGAAAAAAATCTTGATCCACCTCTGTATTGCAACATTTGGCAATATGTTGTTTATTTTTTACAAATGAAATTGGCAAATGCGCAAACTTCTTTCCGAATTATTTTGCAGCTGCCGGATCCGATGCAGGTTCATCATGTACATGTACCTTGGAAATGGATATTTGCTTATCATAATTGCCTTTTGAAAAGTTGTTCGTAGTCTCGATAGAAAATTGAGAAAATGATAAATATCTCATCCAGGATATTAATATTATTATGCTGTACATTGAGGTAATAATAGGCCCGCGAAAGTCTGTACAAAGGGCCTTGTCATTTACAAGAGAGGTGTGATTTTAGCATTCTATATTTTGTCCATACGGCAAAGATGTTTGAATCACGGTAGTTAATTTACATTGACATAAAAGAAATGCGCGACACTGCAAACCTTTAAGGCTTTCAACTGAGAAAGCTCGCGAAAGACTGTACAAAGGGCCTTGTCATTCACAAGAGAGGTGTGATTTTACCATTCTACATTTGTCCATACGGGAAACATGTTTGAATTACGGTAGTTTACATTGACATAAAAGAAATGCCTGACACTGCAAACCTTTAAGGCTTTCAACTGAGAAAGATACTAGCCACAAGTTCACGAAACAAATGATACAACAACAAAAACTTTGTTTGAGGTAATAATAAGCTCGCGAAAGACTCATTTACAAGAGAGGTGTGATTTTAGCATTTTGTCAATACGGCAAACATGTTTGAATTACGGTAGTTTACATTGACATAAAAGAAATGCGCGACAACTGAGAAAGATAATAGCCACAAGTTTACGAAACAAATAATACAACAACAAAAACTTTTAAAATTATAAAAAGAATATGTGTCCTACTTGTCCTAAATACATATATAGCCTTAGTTGTGTTTGTTTTGTCACTAGTCGACTGTCCCGAGTGTCCACTACCTACATTCTTTTATAAGCCTACAACTACCACATCCACATCAAGGTTTTTAGGAATATTCATCCAGGGACCCGGGGGTGTTTAACAAAGATCCTAAGTCGAACTTAACTCTTAGTTCGACTTAAACATTATGGAGAGCCATTTGTAGCCTCCAACTGAAATATATTAAAAAGCGAAAATTCGAGTATTTTAGACTTTTTATAAATTCCACGTCAAGAACATGAAATCTCCTTGATAATAGAAAATACGCATGATTTGAATCAACATTGTATGCCTTTTAAGATAACTTTTACAAAGTATTGTCAAAGATACCAACGGCTTTCCATAAGTTTTAAGTCCGACTGTGTAAATATATGTGTATCGCAATAGCTTGTAACACGACGAATTTCCATTGTTAATAATAATAATAACAATAATAATAATAATCAGACTATATAGCAGTGATAATAATAATAATAATGCAATACATTATCAATACTTGTAAAATCCTATCGTCATTCCACCTCACTTGATAAACATGTATATTATTTTTCGATGCATGCACTTTGTTTTTATTGTTAATTGTTTGTTTTTGTTTTCTGTCAACTCAAAAAATTAGTTTATTAATTTTTGTATGAGTGTATATTATGTTATATATATATGTGTATCGCAATACAGTGTAACACGACGAGTTTCCATTGCTAAAAGGGCAATAAATATGAACCTTATGAACTTAGGATCTACCCCCGGGCCTTTGTATAATTCGAAGCATACATTCATGGAGTAAGGCATGCATGGAACTGTTTTGTGAACTCTTTCAAATCCGCCACATGTTTTTTCAAGCCGTAATTTTTGCATTCAAATTTACTCCTAGAAAGCTGGAATTTCGAAATTAGGTAGTTTATAGGTACTTCTTTATAATGAGATCGTTACAACGTGCAATATTGTAGTGGGCATTGTATTTTGTGGGCCCACATTTAATTAAGAAAAGGGACATTTAACCCTTTAATGGAAAGTGAATGTGCCCGCGGTATATAGTTTATTGTCCATGGCTATCATCACTTGGTTAAGCACATTATATAACATAATTTATGTTTGATTGTTTTAGTCAGTGAAATAAATGTGTTTTCACGCGTTTTCCATTGGCTCCCACTGCCGCCCCCAGGGGTCCCAAAAGGATAAGATATTGGTTAAATTAAAAACAGCCATTAGTATAACCCACTTACAAATGTCTTTGGAAAAAAGTATCATTTCACTATAGTATTACACTCTTGAATCACAGATGATGGGCCCTTAAAATAAGATGTTGGGTACCTGAGACATAATCTGGCTGTCAAAGCTACGTACCCGTTACGATGAATCAAGGTAATTTGATACCGAAAAAGAGATGTAATATGCTCTTGATACCCTTTTTTCATAGTCACGGCACCATTATTTTTAGGAATTAACAAGTTTCACGTCACCCTAATCCAAAATTCATCACAGAAGATATGCAATCCATCACTCTGACATAGTTATACACAAACGTGTACCTGCACATTTCGGGTCGGGGGAAACGCCTCTTGCGCGATAATTTCTCCACTCCAAATATTGTGAGGGAGCCAAAAAAT